TTAGGGGTTGTTTCATTTTAATTTTAATTCATAACTTCTATTAGATTCCTCTGTACGACATTTTCCTTGTTCTTTTTATTGTTGGCGGGGAGATTCATAATACTATGTTTGCTGCCGAATGGTATCCAGGTGATATTGGTGTACTGTGGCATATCTTATGTCGTTCTGTTTCAAAAAAATTATCTGCTCTTTCAAAAAAATTGTTAACCTAGTGATATGTAACTATTCCATGTAGAAAACGATAAATGAAATCTCAGTTGTTAATTAACCAAACTTAATCAAAGAATCGTCATTTCATTTATTGAAGCCAATCTTTACATCCACCATTTTCAAAATTATGACAAAAAATTGTTGTATGAATTCCTTTTCTTTCTTTTTAATGGAAATACAAGTCATTTTCTAAGACTAGGAAATAACTATAAAAAGTTATCATAATCAATTGATTATTTTTGGGTTTTGAATAAGGAAAAAAAGAAATTAAATCATACACACCAAAATCAAAAATCACAAAGCAGTAGAAGAGTGGATCTGGTGATATTTTTTTAGTACATTCTAAAAAAATACTAGTTCACAAATGAATCATACCTAGCAAACATAATCATCGATAGATGGAAAACACAAAAATGAGGTATTTTCACTCATCCACAATCTTGCAAACAAAATACTAAATTATGCATTCATCCAAATATTCACATTGAAAATACAAAAGCAAGAATATCAAGGGCTTTCAAGGTTGTAATGTGGCTTGGTTAACAAACAAGTGATAAGTCCTAAAGCTAATCGAAACAAAAACTTTCCTAAACCTAAGGGAGTGATCAATCCACCAAAGATTCAAACAATAGAATTCCAATCAAACTTCTTCTTTACCATAAATTTCACACCAAAGCACCATGACTTATTAACACAACATTATTCCATACTTTTTTTCTTCTTCTTTTTTCAATGCTTTTCAATTTTTTTCTTTCTTTTTCTATCTTTCTTTTTCATTTTTTTTTCTTTTCTTTTCTTTTCTTTTCTTTTATTTTCAACCTCATAGCAATCATCCAATAAATACATAATCATTTTTCTCCCCAACTTGAATTCAACCATACATTAAAGTGAATACTCTCTACTTTATAAGGCAAGGTAAAAATTTAACTAAAAATCATAGTTGAGGGTTCAAGAAAATAACAGAATCAACACCCATGCAAAAAGGGAAATTAAACACTCGTAGACAAGTATTTAGCAAAAATGACATGGATATCAACAAAACGCTCAAAAGGGTTACTAATGATCACACAATGACAAGGTGAATTGACTATTTGGACAAGGTAGTTATGCTCAAAATGAAACAAAAAAATGTCTTGATCATGTTCAAGCTTTCATACAATCAATACAAACAAAATATTAAGCATAATAAAGTCCAGTTAAAACAAGAATTATGGTCTTCAGCATATGTGAACAATGGAAAGCTACCTTACAAAAAGGGTAGGAACTAAAGTAATTCATAAATGAACAAGTATACAAAAGAATGAATGACATAAAATTGTAAAAAGTCTAAGTATCATGAATATGCTAAAGTATAGAAAGCGATAAACACATACCTTGAACATGTACAAAAATTTAACAAAATCATTACCATGCATTTGCAAGTCGAAACGATCAAACTTGACAAATCACCTCAATATTATACAAGTTACCAGATCAAAACTTGAGTGCAAACAACAACAAAAATTAGAAAAATAATACTCCTACAAAATTTTGATGTACAAAATTTATAATATATACAACGAACAAAACTCCTAAAGCTAAATACGACAAGCTTTCGGAAAACACAAATTGACAACAAAAGAAATACAAATAACGATATGAAAACCGGGTTAAAATGAATTAACAAGTTGAAAAGTGAAGATTTGAAATTCATAACATTTCCTTGTTTCAACTTGTTAAAACATAAATCACCACACACATACACAAATACAAACAAACATGCTTGTTTTACGTTGTAAGCTCGACGCCTTTATTGTGAGAACTAGTAACCTTCTCTCATCATGCCATGGTATTATCACACCGCGCAAACCTAAAGAAATTATCCTAACAATCACACAACAAACATTACGAAAACGAGACAATTCACAATAATACGTGAAAACACATATATGCATAAATATCATATACAAGTTAATGTACAATTTCTATACAACATATACATTAATTACAAAACTCAAAAACAAAAGAATTATCACAATTCAAAGACAATAGAACCAATCCCCGACAACGGAGCCATTTTGTTAGAAGCTGTGTAGCGACAAGCAACAAAAGTTTTGGAAATATTTATCTGGGAATTTATCGTGTCACAAAAGAGATTGGTTATTGATTTGGCGTTCGATAAATCTCTCGTTAATGAGTTTGGGGATAAATGGGTTTGTAAAGAAAATGTTATCAACAGAAAATAAATGTAAACAAAATTAAAAACTAAGGAAGAACTTATCAAGCCTGCATATAATCTACTCATCACAGACTTAAATCTATCGATCAGTTACATTCAACCTAACAATACTCATCAATGTCCCCACATATCACTCACAACCTAAGTCATTTCTAACCAAATTGAGAGGCCGACTGTATCACCAAGGAAATTATCTTTCTACCTCCTCAGCAACATAGAAGACAACTATGTAATCGCACTGACGATCTCTCAGTATAGCACAATCACACAGAGGCGTTAAGCTCTGATACTCTAGTAGATGTCAGCTTTAAGTTTATCTCTAGAGTTCAGAAACTAACAGATAATTATCCTAGATAAGAATCTAAGCATTATATGTCTATAACAACTCAAATCCCTAGCACATATCAAAAATCCAAGACAACAATCGACAAAGATTTATAATATAATGCCATGAGCGACAAATATACATAAGTTCAGAGTAAACACATGTACAAACTCAACACATAAAGAATACACAAAGAGGAAGAGAAATGAACCATAAATCTACCGGTTTGTCAATGTCGATTGATGAGCAATCTATCCCGGATCATCCGTATGCAAGTTTTATTGTTGTTTTCTAAGCTAATCCTATCCAAAAATGAAGGTTGATGGAGTCGGGATCAAAAATACCCAAAACCATACCTAAAAAATATATTTTTACACCTAAATACGCATTTATGAAAGTCCAGCATCGCCTGACGATCAAAAAGCATTTTTCCCACACTACAGCTTGCCTAGCATGCCCGACGACCAAAAGCGTCGCACGGCGATGAATGACAGATAGTTGAAAAAAGCAGCACAACATTCTACACTATTTTGGCCATAACTTTTGAATCGTAACTCTAAATCGCGCCCGGTTCGAAGTGTTGAAAAGCTTATTCAATGCTCTTTCTAACAATGCCTTAATATAAAATCTTGGATACCTACAAAAATGAGATAAAATCAATTAAACTCAATGATATTTACATAATAACGTAATAAATACACTATAACATAAATTATACCGAATATACACTAAAGTTGAGGTTTATTGACAAAAAGCAAACGAATTAAGCCGATGAGTGCTAATAATTCACACTCAAATTCATAATAATTTAGCACTCATCAATATTCTGAGCTCATAACGTATCTGATATAGACTTAACGCATCTATGTGATTCTGATACGACTTAAACACACCGCTGATATGAATATGTATCCAATACAGATCTAACGCTTTTACAGAATTCTAATATGGTTTAATCATATTACATGCCTTATTGCGTATCTAATATATAATGCATTCTCCTATGCGATTTTGATACAACTCAAATACACATCACATATATGAGGCTTATTAAACGCACTTCTGCATAGCTGGCACACCCCTCCCCCTCAGATCTATCCAATCACATCGCATAAGTTATGGATCCTGGAGACGTCCACCTCGATCTGAGCCAAGCCTCGAGGGCAGTGATAAGGATCCTACCTTTGTCCGTGGAATGGTTCTCTATGATGATGAGCATAGTACAAAGTATTTCTACATAAACTTGACTTCTCTTGTTCCAGGAATCTCCTAGGAAAAGCAAACAAATAGTGAAATGCGACATACAAACTAGTACACTACTGCAACAAATTTGAAAGGCGGTAAGAAAATATGGATACTAAAAATGGTAGCTAATATCATTCAAATGCACTGAGTTTCAAAAACCTCGAAAACTTCAAGGGTCAGCGCCAAATTCCTAACCATGCAGGGCTACCTCGTGCCATTGAAAAGGAGGTCAGTGCCACAATTCAAGATTAACAATTATTCATATCTCTTCATTTCTAGTTCTTTCATGGAACTAGATCATCTATTTACGGTTCCTGAATGGAACAATACCACTAAATGTATTTCTAGCATGAAGAGTTTTATAAAATTAATATTTATTTCTAAATACAATTTACTAGTGTGATTAAATAATTTTTGTGGACTAAAATAAGGAGATCATTTATCCCCATTTCTATTTCTGTTAGCAACTGAAGACTTTAACTTATTGATACAAAAAGCCTCAAATTCGAGGGATTTTAAAGGATACAGTTTCAACGGGGAGGATAACGAGAGGTTTACACATCTTCAATATGCCGATGATAATTTAATCATTAGTAAGAAAGGGTGGGGAAACATTTGAAACATTAAGGAAACACTTTTGTTATTTGAACTTACATCAGGTCTTAAAGTGAACTTTCATAAAAGCATGATGGTTGGGATTAACATTCCAAAAGCATGACTTGAAGAGGCGTCCGAGATTCTTCATTGCAAAGCTGGATCAACCCTATTCATTTATTTAGGCCTTCAGATTTGGGCAAACCCAAGGAGAAAAGTGACTTGGAAACCAATGATAGATATTGTGAGATCAAGATTTTCTAGTTGGGAGAATAATCATTTGTCGATTAGTGGTTGTGTGGTAACGATTAAATCGGTCTTGTCTACTATCCCAGTGTATTACCTATCCTTATTCAAGGCTCAGTCAGGTATAATTTTGAAACTTGAATCTCTCTTTAAACAATTTTTATGGGAGGGGGTGGAGAGGATAAGAAAATATTTTGGGTAAAATGGGAAAAGGTGTGTAGATCCGTAGATGAGGGAGGGTTAAGTATAAAACATTTGAAATGTTTTAACGAAGCTGTCTTAAGTGAATGGGATTGGAATATTAGATGTGAAAGAGGGGGTTTATGGTATACAACTTTGTCAAATAGATATGGAGATAACATCGATGTCAATAAAATTATTGTGAGAGAGTGTTCCCCCCTGGTGGGCTAATCTAAATGGTTTAGACTTAGGAGCCGACAGCCTATCAAATGTATATTATGTCAGAGAAACTTATAAGAAAAGCATGGATTCTAGAAGTTGTTCCACATATTTTTCGTGGTAAAAAATCTAGAGTAAATCAATTCCTTCAAAATTGTCTTATGGAGTTACATAGCTTCAATCTGCATTATTCATTGGTGGTTTTGCTTCTGGTTTTTGGGAGTCAACGTTTGGTTGAAGTCGTGGAATGTTCAGGTTCTCGATAAGTTGCATCTCGCTCCCATCCATCTCTAGAGATATTTAACCGTAATTAGACCGCAGTAGTTAGGGGTTGTTTAATTTTAATTTTAATTCATAGTTTCTATTAGATTCCTCTGTACGACATTTTCCTTGTTCTTTTTATTGTTGGCGAGGAGATTCATAATACTATGTTTGCTGCCGAATGGTATCCAGGTGATTTTGGTGTACTGTGGCATATCTTATGTCGTTCTGTTTCAAAAAGATTATCTGCTCTTTCAAAAAAATTGTTAACCTAGTGATATGTAACTATTCCCCGTAGAAAACGATAAATGAAATCTCAGTTGTTAATTAACCAAACTTAATCAAAGAATCGTCATTTCATTTATTGAAGCCAATCTTTACATCCACCATTTTCAAAATTATGACAAAAAATTGTTGTATGAATTCCTTTTCTTTCTTTTTAATGGAAATACAAGCCATTTTCTAAGACTAGGAAATAACTATAAAACGTTATCATAATCAATTGATTATTTTTGGGTTTTGAATAAGGAAAAAAAGAAATTAAATCATACACACCAAAATCAAAAATCACAAAGCAGTAGAAGAGTGGATCTGGTGATGTGAGGAAGAGGCGCACGAAAGCAGGTGGTTGTGGGATAAATCATGGTTTCAGATGGGTTTTTGTGTTTAGAATTTTCTGGCAATATAATTAGGTTTCCTTATTTTGCACCTTTTGTTTATTTTTATTTTTTATTCATTAATTTGTTTTAGGTAGTAATTGAATAACACTCACACCACCAAATTAATGTAATAAAATCATTATTAAAGAAACTGTTTGAGATTTAACAATTATATAGTTCTTTCCACTCTTCTAATGATATACAAGAGTTTGATTGTGAAATAGATCAAATGCCAAATGTGATTGTTTAAGATCAACAAAAATTCAAAGAGATTAAGAGAACGATAAACAAGTAAGTTTCGGGCCATATATTCATTATTTACTTATTGTTTTAATGATATACAAGACTTTGTTTCCTATCTGAAAGATAAACAAATATGTTTTAAATATGCAATTTTAAATTTTCTAGAGCTGTCACTTTTTTTTTTCTATAGTTAATTAGCAAATTATTCACACGGACAAAGTATTTTTTGTTACCTATATCCCTTTAGGACTACCCTTTGTATTTTGATTATATATCCCTTGATAACCCCTTTGTCTCGTATCCCTTTTCTTTCTTTTATAAACCGAATTATATCCTTTTGACCTAAAATACTTATAATTACTTTTATATCTTTAGAGTTGGGTAGTAATAAGAAAATCTTAACCATGTAACTTAGGAATATCCCTTGAAGGTTTTATTGTGGTAAAAAAATGATTTGTATATGAAAGATTGGATGAATGAAAGGATTTAATGCCTAACTCCAAGAACTTAGTCTGCTTTTCCAAATTAATCCTACCTTAATCCAAGCTATTTTACCACCTTTAAGATCTCAAAAGTGTGTAATAATTTTAATTTGAGAGATATTTAGAAACAATTTACGCGTATGATAAAATGATTATTTTTACATGTTGATTGAGTGATATCTTTGTTATTTGAGTAAATTTGTGAGGAAGAGAGAAATGTTGATTTGGTATGAACAAGATCAATGTCTTTCTTTTATCCATATTGAGGTTTGAGAACAAATGTTGAATTTAATCCTTATCATGAAAGTATTATGGTAAGTAGCATTAAATTTAGGCATTATCATCGAAGCATATAAATTATTATATTTTTGGCAGAGTATGAATTTAAAAAAGAATCCTTTAAGATAAGGATATGTTCAAGTGTGGGATTGTGATAATAGTTACTCATTCCATATTTTTTTAAAGTTTATTTCACTTAAAGTTTAAGTGCATTTACTTTTAATTGTTTATGCTTTTGTAGGTCTTAATAAAGATTCTGAATAATTTTGAAAAATATTAATTAGTGTCAAAATGTAACACCCCGTACATATACATCTAAAATAATATGTAATGATGTTAAATATGGTATAAAGAAACATATAAATAGTTAGAAAAGACAAGAAATTAAAACTCTTTACAATATAACTCCAAATTTGGATGTATATAATAAGCCCGTCTTCAACATTGTAGAGCAAAAAGATAACATCTACAAAGGTCTTCCTCTCATCTGCTCGCCCACAATCTTAAAAATTGACCATCTAGCAATTCTACGACTTATAACATGTTCCTGAAAAATAATAAGAGGATTTGGGTGAGATTACTAAATCTCAATGACTCTCCCTATCTTAAGGGTTCACTCGTTTCTACAGGGTGCATACAATAAAACAGAACCATTGTGGATCTGGGGTTTTCCTTACGCCAGGTGCAAATACACAACAAAGGTACACCACCATTGGAAGTCCCATAATTATCCAATGAGGCAACAAGGAAACACAATCGGCTCAAGGCCACAAACAAATATGCAGACCGATACCCATGTACGAGGAATTCAGAAGTAACTTCTACCTTTCTATTTAGGCTACGCATTTCATACCCTCGATGGGTTACCTCTTGTGTCTAAGTATCAAAGGACTTGCACATGTGCACTGCTAGATGAATCAGTTCATTCCTATATGGAATTCCATCCGTGATGAGTTTACCTGTTGTGACATTACCTAAGTGGAGTTACAACCCCATCATACCAAGAACGCCAATGTGTTAACGGCTAGGGGGGAAACGCCATGTAAGACCCCCACATGCACATTGAAATGGTATTCATCATTAATACACATGTGTGTTAACTTCTAGTGCAAATATGCCATAATGACTACATAAGCCCACTGGGAGAAAGCCTAATGGTTGGTATTGCCTACGTGGCACCATTAGAGGGGAGTTCCCTGATGTGATGTAGCCTACATGGCATCACGCCCTTGCCATACCAAGCACGTCAATATGTTAACTGCTAGTGGAGAAACACCCTATAAGACCCCCACATGCACATTGCAATGGTAGCTCAAGTGTGCATGACTTACTGATAATGCTGATAGAATCACACACCTCATCACATCGATAATAACAGTCATAAGAGCTTTACCACCTAATAGTCTAGGTCTACTTCGATTGAAGCATATAACAAGTAATCACAATCATAACAAGCCACTAAGGCAAAACACATCCAAACATTCAACTGGAACGAACGGGAAGAGGTAATGATCACATAAATGCATTTTCAACATAATGCACTTCTCAACACTTTGCATTTAACAATCATTCACATTCATGATTTGCATACAAGTGATCATAGCATTATATCATATCATTATCCATATAATATGATTTAGACGTATTCATGTCATAATCGGGTATATGATCACGTAAAGCTTACACGCATTACACCATACGTTTCCCAACAACTACTGGGACCAAGGAGGCATCTGGTACACAATATGATACAAGACTGCACTCAAGGGATTAAATTAATACAATTCTTTTTATGAGAGCGCGTTGAGCAAAACCTTCCGCATTAAGTACGCTCTGTAAAATAATTAAATTTCAAGTCCCAGGAAGGCACACTAAGTGCGGTCCCTCGCGCTAAGAGCTGTCTGGAAATTCCCCAAATTCAAGTTTCAAGAGGGTGCGGTAAGCGCGACCCCGCACGCTAAGCGCAGTCTGCGATTTACAGAAAACTCATAACTACATTATTCTGTTTTGGGGTCTCAAAACCCCATTTCCACCCTCCATTCCATGTACCCACAGTACCCAACACGAAATTCATGTTATAAACAGGTATTCATCAATGAAATCATACATGCATAAGAAATTATCTCACCTAAACCCTTAACACCATATCAAACAATTTTCCCCTAAACCCCAAGTTTATATCTAAGAGACTCACCTTGCATCTAAGGAGGTTAAGATGTCATCCATGTTGCATTTGAGTTCCCAACTTGATAAAAAATCCCCTTCTATCATCATCAAATTCGTAACACCATTTCAGCAAGAATCTCCAATATTCAAACTCATTTTTATCTTTCAAAATATAACTCCATACCACTAAATTATAAATCAAAATGAAGGGAATTTCGTTTAGATTCCATAACTTCAAGAATTTCTCAAGTCGAAGTTATGAGTAAGAAGTTATGACTTTTTATGTGAGAGTTGTACCATGAATACGAAAATACAATTTGTAGATGGAGAATAAGGCTTTTTGTTTCTCTCTCTAATTTCCAATCACAAATTCTGATTGTTATAAATCTTAATCCAAACAAGGCCTTATTCCACATGTAAAGATGTTATATGTCCAAAATGCCCTATAACTTAAGATTTATTTACCACCATGACACTTACTTCAATACCAACTAATCTCTTTTGGTTCTAACTACTCCACTTAATCTCTCTCTTAATACATTTCTAAATACAATCATATACAATATACTCATAGTAATAGAATAGGGATGTTACACAAAATCACCCTAACTAGAAAATAATGTAGTGTTTTTACTACAAAACTTGTGATGATGATGATGAAGAATGGAGGAGACTTAGACACAATAATAATAATAATAAATTGGAAGATTCCATGAAGTTAAATTTTTAAGATATTTCTTGGAAAAAATGCATGGCATGGTAGCAACAGGTGCGACGTGTTTTGGAAATCTCTAGATACCACGTCATCCACGTAGCAAACATGGAACACACTTAGGGAAGTGTGGTGCATTTTTGCGACAACACAAGTTTTATATAAAAGTAAAAATTATGTTCAATGGAAATGGTTTATAATTTCGATTTG